CTCGAATTTGACAATGGGTAACGGATGACGAGTGGGTTTTTACTTGTTGTGGTATCCTCCGTGAGTATCACTCCATTTTCAAGAGGTGTGGTTCGATCATCATAATTGAAAAATTCGATTCTTGTTGGCCTAATATCTTTAAGCTCGGAGAAACTGTCTTTGAGAATTGGTTTAAGACGGACCAAGCTGAACTTTTCAGAAGTATAAAAACTTTGGTCAACGTCAATTTCAAAGGGACTTTGATCACCTTCGAGTAGGACCCACATATTGATGATAGTACTGTATGAAAAAGAAGATTGCACGAAGCTGTAATTAAAAAGTGATAATATTTAAAAAATTTTGAACTTAATAATACGAGAGCAGTGATTTAAAAGAAATACTTCTTTGGGGACGCTTTTAGCTCGGCTCTAAGGTCATTTTTATTTATTCGTCCCATATGAAGCTTCTGAGTTTCAAAAGTTAAATGTGACTAAAATGAACAAAAATGGAAATCAACAATGAGACATACCATCAGATGACTTAAATAATTTTTTTTAGCCAATCAAAAGCTATTAATAATAGCGGGTGAAAAGTGATGTGATATCGATTTAATAATAAATAGACAAAACAACACAACCTGTATAGCTTATTTTATCTATACAAAGATTCTACTTTTATTTTTTTTGCCAGCTTTCAAATGGTAAAGTTATGTGAACGGTATTCGACTTGTAAAATTACAAATAACCAACCTTTCGACTTTTAATCGTATTATGAGTCATCAAGGCGTAAATCCTTGGATTTTAATTGCGATATCGTAGTTTGCATGTGATGGTTTTGAAAAAAATGAGCTCATCAGTTTCCAAAAAGTTATTTTTTGTGTTGAGGAAATCCTATTTGACCACATCTTGACTCAGAATCATTTTTGAATTTGTCAATTTTGTAGTCCTCGATTCAAGCGTATTATCTTTGTTGTTGAGAAGGTATTCGAGAGGAATAAATGATTATATCTGAGAGAAAAAAGAAGTCCATGAAAATGGAAGAGCGTGTAGTGAAAAACCTTATTATTCAGGATAAAATTGCTGAATAGTACCATGTATTATAGTATCAAAAGCTGAACAACTGATGGAGTTATACGAACCTGACGGAAACCAGCAGATCTGGTGATAAGAATTTTACATTATAAGGCGAGCTTTGGCTCAGAAGGTAAGCACAAATATATCGAACCATGTATCATCATGCATGACTTTAGTTGCGTCTAGTGAACATGATTTCTCTAACATCCTAACCAACCAATTGTCTTTATTAAATTTTTTAACCTCTAGCATTACTTTCAAATAGTCAGAATTAAACATTTTCAAGCGATTTCATACGGGATTGAAGGAAGATTTTGACACAAAGCACAACGTGTTTCTAGGAAGTAATCTTCAAATATTTATCCACACCTCCCATATATATAAAGTCTGGAAGCGCGATTGCCGTCGCATTAACTATTGGAATACTGTCGCTACGTTACAGAATAAAAAAATCTATGACTATAATATTTTTCGAGAAGATGATCTCAAGGAGAAATCAAGACCTCTGCGATTACAATTTCTGTCAAATATTGACAGGATTTAAACCAGGGCCCATAATTTCGCTAGAATGGGGTTTTATAATAGACAATCAAAATGAGAACTTCAAAAAGACTTCACAACTTTTTTTTTAAGATTTACCTGATATCTTCTATCAAACGAAATACCAAAATGACCTGATTAAAGTACTGTATAGAATTGCTTAGTGCTTTAATAGATGCTATTTAAAGGGAAAATTTTAGGTAGGCAGTCTTGCATTCGCATTAAAAAGCACAGGTGTCTATTATGATGATTATTATTGGACATCGTTGGGGCACGCTTTGGTACAGTATATTGGAATAAATGTGGGATAATTTTACAATGATTTGGATAAATCACTGCTTTGTTAGGGATGAATTGTTCCTCGAAAGAGAAATATCAACCGCAGCTTTCTGGTATTTTCGCAAATTGGATTTCATCAATACCACATCGCAAAAGGAAATCTCGCCGCTATAGTTACTTTGTGATTACAGCATCTTCTAAATAACGTGGCCATCCAATCGCAATTCTTGAGTTTTTATCAACCGATTAATTATCCAAACCAGTTAAAGAACTTTTTAACCGGTTATTAACCGGTTAAGTATTTTTAACCCGGTTCCAACCTCAGTTATCAATATCAGAATCATTTTTTTAAATTTAAGGTGAATTTTACCTCCATAATAATCTTACATTGAGATATCTCACACTGAATAAATGTAAATAATAAATCTTGGATTAAATAGATTTCTAAAAACTAATTCGTTTTTTATTTATTTTTAAATATATATTTTATAGAATTTTAAATTATTTTATTAAATTTAAAATAAATTTTTTTTATTATTTTAATGTAATTTTATTAAAATATTTTATTTAATTTTTATTTTACATTAAAAAATTTGATAATTAATTATTTTTCAATAGTAAGATAAATTACCTCTAATTTAATTCAACCTTGATTCATAAAATATTAAAATATAATATAAAAAAGCAAAGAAATAAACAATTTCTTTAATATGAATTACCGAAAAGTATTTTAGCTTTAATTTCTTAAATTTTAAATAAATATTTTATATTATTATTCAACGAGTTACCGAAAATAGACTTTTTTTTTTGAATTTTTAAACTATATTTTTTATTAATATTTTATTTATTTGATTTCTCCTAAATTCGCTTGATTAATAGCAAATAACTAAATGACAAATAATAATTTAAATGACCAGTAATCATCATTTGATCGGATTAAACAAATGGTCAACAGGTCACTCATGACTTCTTTTCCAAAATGCCAAGCCAAATTATCTGTCATTTCTTTAAAGTATACTTTATACGTAATGAGATACCTGGAATTCCATATTCGGTTACGAGTAAGTGCATAGAGATATATATCACATTAACTAGATTTGTTGAGAAATGAAATTGTTTGAATGCATCCATTTCCAAAATGGCCGTCATTTGCTTTACGCCCTATGAATATTGATGTCCGGAATCTGTCCTTAACAGTTCCGGACTGATAATCCCGGATAGATTCATCGTGTTTAAAGATCCACGTGAAAAAAAATCTACTAAGGTAAGGCAGCTTAATTATTTGTAACTTTGAAAAAAATATTATAGATATTATTTTTTTCCTACTATACAAGTTTATTTGAACGACAAGAAAGGTTTCTAAATTTCAATTTTGTTATTTACGTTTTTTTGTAAAAAATTAAATAAATAAATAAATTTATCATTTTTAGAAATCTGGAATTTCAATTTGTACGGAATTAATCTAAGACATTTTCCGGTTTCATAGGGAGGGTACATCGGATATACATTTACGGGGTAAGCGCATGTGAGTAATCACAAACATATATGTCAAAACGCCATACCGATATTATACGACAAGATATAAATTAAGTATACCAATAAAAGTTATAGAAATTAATAAATAACTTTCAACTTTTACTAGTCCAAACCTATCGTAGCTCCTTCAAAAAACAATGCTTTTTTTTATCGTATACAGTATAATGATTCCTCAAAAAAATTTCAATTAATTTTCACAAAAATAATAATGTTACGCAAGAATTGATAGTTCTTGACATTCTTATCATAAACCTCAAGACTTTAAAACATTTTCCACAATCGGTTCAGGAGTAGGGATGGTAACGGTCGGTCATAGTCGGTTAACGGTCGGTCAACGGTCAGTCAAAGGCCTTTGACCGACCGAC